TGACCTGAGACCAGTTTGAATCAAAGGCTGGGTGTGAGTGTGTTTGTGGATGTGTGTACCTGTACGTCGATTCTCCCTGCCTGCTGCTCTGGCTGGTACGAGAGGAGATCTGCTTGTTCCTCCTACCACGCGCATGGTGTTGGCTCGCTGGTAGGGCAAACAGGGCGGACAATGGGCTGTCCTTAAAAGCCCACGTGGTAAAGCACGTGAAAGCCATTCCAGTAGATTTGCAGAAGCATTTCTGTATGTCTGCCATTTTGCGTGCAAGTACTGTAGAAATATCCCAAGTGTCAGGCTGTATGCTCGCTGGGAAAAATGTACAGTGAACATCGTGGGTTTTTTATTCTGTGACTCCTGAGAAGCAAAGGCCTTAGCTGGCAGCGGCTGGTGATTAACACATTGTAGTGGTGCAGATTAGCAGACAGTGCTGGCTCTTCAATTGTAAACACATTGGTGGCCTCAGACCTTTACTTCCTATTTTTCAATGGACAGATGTCCAAAATTGTTCTTGATGGCCCTGACGGAGCAGCTGGGGTCAGGGCTGTAGCATCGGCTCCCTGCGGCGCAGGCGTTAGCTGTCCTTGGCTTCCACCACGTGCACTCGATCCTGCGCGTGGGTCTGGTGCGAACAGGGCTGCGTTGCTGGCAGCCTGGGCTGGCACGGATGCCGCAGCCTGCTGCAGCCCCGTGCCATGGATGGCTTCGTCTGGGTGCTTTGTCATCCGGCAACACCTCGAAGTATGCTAAAGAGAAGGCTGTGCCTGCTTCCGAAAGGCCAGCTCGAGGCCCAGGAGAGAAGGAAGGTATGGAGGCAAGGGCTTGGGAAGTGTCTGTGTCCTCTCAGCCTGGTGAAGCCCTCATCTAGAGAGACTTAAGTGGCTTTCTGCGATGAATGGTGCCCTCTCCTCAGGTGGGACATCCCATGCAGATGGGCACATCTTCCCCTCCGCGCGACATGGTGATGTTTTGCTGCTGTTCCGCTGAAGCTGATGTAAAAGCCACGACACATGTAGAGGGCTCCTCGATACCAGAGGCACCTGGAGCGCCAGGGCCCCCCTCCTGCTTTCCTTACGAATACGTACAAGCCTGGGCTACGTTGACCCCCTGCAGTATGTCTGAATTCAGCAAATAAACTGTAGGCAGCCCCAGACAATGCAATTATAGACTGTCACTTGGCTGTAAATCACGGCTGCGTGATTATAGGCAGTGCCCTTTGGTGGTGTGACAATTTCAGACTTTTCCCCACCTTATTTCCCTCTCCCAACAGCTAAGATGAAAATATTGAACGAGTCTTAAATAAGCTAAAGCTTGTTGGGAAGATCTGAGAGCATATACTGCCATTTCAGAGGCGTGCCAAAAGCGGTGTGCATGTGAAATGTGTTGTCAGTGGTGGGCCCAGCTCGAGTCAGGTAAAAAGTGATACCTACTTTATATGAAAAATGTAGAAGAAATTGTGCTCTGCTCCTGCAATCCTGTGTATTGGGGCAGTAATTTACTGTGGTTGGCATTAAGGCAGATGGTACTGAGGGTGTTTTAATAGCTTAAGCTGTCGTCGCTAAAACAGGAGCTGGTTTTGTTCGACCTTTTTCATGTTTCACAACCTTTGCATCTTTGGTCAGTGGTGGCTGCATCTGTAGTTTCTAAATAACTAAACCAGAGAAGTGTTGTCTGATTGCATCCTTTTGAAGTGGTACGTTATAGCCAAGTATGCAAATAAGCATAGATTCTAGGACAAGAAAGCTTCGAAGTGGGGGAAAGGAGGCAAGCTCCTGTTCTTCAAGGGTTTGAAGATCTTCAACCACAGGCTGAGGGTAGAAGAAGGGTCAGGAACAGCACAAGCGGGAAAGATTCTCAGATATTTAATCAAATCAGTTAAATCAATCCATTTAATTACTTTGATCAATTTTCCAGAAGGGAACAAGATTGCACCCATGTACATTGACAGCCACATTGACCCACAAGGCAACCAACACGAACCCAGTGCTCCCCTCCACTCACTGAGCCGCTGGTGTGTGACCGTCTGCTTTTCATAGTTTGGTCAGCAGGAGCTCGAATGGGCAGGGTTTCAAGTCAAAGGCTAGAAATAACCGAGAGCATTTGTGAGAAGATTTTTGTGGTTTATTTGTGAGCTCGCAAGAACTTCTTTTCCAGCCCTCAGTGGTCAGAGGTAGCTCTGTCGGTGACCACTGCAGCAAGCCAATAAATAGCTGCACCGCTTAGTTCTTCAGTTTGGGTATGAGCAAAAAGAAATGAACTTGAAAGCTTTTTGGAGGAATAATGGGCCATGTCGAGCCGTGTGGACAGGTCCTCCTGACGTAACGGGCCGTGGTAGGAAACTCCAGCAGTTCACCTCACTGCCGAAGCCGCCCCTTGTCCCCCTGACCCCGTACCTGGGTGTTTGCTTTCTGCACGCTTCACCTGCAGCTGTAAAGGAAACAAATGCAAAAAGGAGTTAAAATCAGTTTCAGGCCCTGTCCCGGCTCCTCAGGCCCCCACAACTTGTTTTCCATCTGTTCGCCTGCGTCTCGCTCCTGCCTCTGTGGGCATGGGAGAGAGTCCCTCTGCTTCCGCCGAGCTGCTCTCACAGAATCACAGAATCACAGAATAGTAGGGGTTGGAAGGGACCTCTGTGGGTCATCTAGTCCAACCCCCCTGCCGAAGCAGGGTCAC